TGTGTTTATTGCAGCTCTCAACAAGTTCCTTCCCTCTGCTTCGTACCCAAGACCACGTTCTGTCATCCACTTGCTACTATAATTTCTTCCTTGCTTTCTTTCATCAGTTCTTTCTTTCTTTCTTTCTATTCTATTCTATTCTATTCTCTCATCCATTTCTCAGATATATCAGTTTCGATTCTTTCCAGGTATGCCACGCGTTGTTTTCCCTTGTCTCTCTTTCCTTCTATTCGACCCCTTATTATCAGATTCTATAAGCCCTCCTTCCTCATTATGTGTTCCATAAACTTCAGTTGCCTCTTCCTGATGTTAAGTATAAGCCTCCTCTTTGTTTGCATCCTCATCACTCCTCACACGCTCGTTCCATGATATCCTTAGCATCCTTCTGCAGAAGCTCATCTCCGTCGCCTTGAGTCTGTTTTTCATCTTTAAGGAAATCGTCCAACATTCGCTGCCGTAAAGGACAGATGTCACGTTACAGCTCAGTGTGTCCAAAATTAACGAACAAATTGGAAAATATGTGGGAATAACGCACATAATCCGAATTTTTGATAAGCGATGATAAGATAAAGATGGTTTACCATCACGACGTCATTTTCCAACATGGCGAACCGGAGAAACGCTGACAAATCTCTAAGAGCTGATGTTGTCAAACTGCGAAAGGAAAATCACAAAACTGGCCAGATTGCCGAACAGGTGAATCGTTTCAAAATCATTGTGAGCCGAATTCTGTAACGGTATGGAAACACTGGTCGCTTAACCAGCCCAAACAAGGTGGTTAGACCAAGGAAAACAACGGCCAGAGAAGACATGATCGTTCAACGCCTATAACTGAAGGACCACTTTCGAACAGCGGTCGGCATTTCACGAGAAATTTCAAATAACATTAATGTGACTTGACAAACTGCGTCTAGATGCTTACAAGAAATAGGGCTTTATGCTATGTGTCAACAGATAAAGCCACTCATAAGCAAAAAGAACAAGGCAGCAAGACTGGAATTTGCAAACAAGTACGTGGTGTGCTCAGAAGAACGGTGGTCAAGCGTATTTTTCAGCGATCAAAGTAAATTTAATATCACTAATCATGCGTTAGGCACCTAGTGAGGATCGAACTCACCAAGCAAGTAGTGGACACCTTGTCAGAATCGAACGCACGAACCAGGTGTCGGGCAGCTGGTAGAGATCGAACTCAGTCATCAAGTGTTGACACGTAATGAGGATCGAACTCACTAATCAAGTGTTGGGAACATAATGAATATTGAACACATTATCAATGGTCAGCTCGGATTATTTGCCAATCTATATTTCCATGACTAGACTCTCGGTCAACACACACACACACACACACACACACACACAAAAAAAAAAAAAAAAAAAAAATACAACAAAAATGCAAATATTAATAACTGGATCAATAAGTCCATAACCAAACAGGCAGAAATATTTTTTTCTTCTCCGCGTTGGATATGATTAATATTTACAACTCATTTGAGCGCATTTAAAAAGAATGGACATTTATTCGCAAAATAAATATTTGCTGTGTAAGATGAGTGCACTTTTAATCGGCAGGGGAGGGGGTTGCAGACATGCTGCTGCACTTACGCTTGTTCGAGCGTCTGTGCGCTCTTGCATGCATTGAAATAGAGGCTAACAGAGTAATGTACAGTTTGAGATAATGATTTCGTCCTAAACAGAAACAAATTATCTTCATAAAATAAAGATTCACCACATCCTTATCTCCCCCCAGCTATTGATTAATCAGTAAATCATTATTATCACCATTTTTTTTTTAAATCTAGAAATATTTTCTGGCTTTAAATAACGTGCAAAATGTTGATAAGCCGTAAAAAAAGAAATCAATTAAAGATCCTGTTTGCATAGACTAGAAAAGTCTAACAAACACATACACAATGTTTGTGATAGAAAATGTCGAGTATTTGTAAAGCCCTGGTTTATTCGTTATTTTCCTTAGTTCAGAAGAATTTTTAAATGGCTTCTTTTTTGTAATTGATCATCATTATTATTCCAATGTTATTTTTTAGATGGCACACGTGTTTGAGTTGACATCCTTATTTTTAAACAGTGAAACTAATGTCAAGCGCCCTAGGGATCGGAAGTCTTTACTAAAGAAAAATGTGCTTCCTGGTAGGAAAGCCAACATGTATTGACTTTTTTTCATCAGAGAACACACGCCTTTCATTAAAATGTGCCATATTATTTAGGTATCATAATATTTCCGGTAGCCTACTTTTAAGGCACACTTCATTAATAGGAGTTTCTTTTTTCCGATATTCAGGTTCTATTCTTGTCAGGAGCAACATTATTTTTTAGTAATAACTTCTTGGTCTCTGTGCCAGTTGATATTTATTTACACGTGTAATCCCTAACAATGACGTTTATAATAATAAGAATGATTGTTTCATTCATTTCGATGGGTTATCATGCCCTTTCATGTTATTTAAAGCCATAATTTGGGAGGAGGAATATTCTTCCTCTCAATTCATCGCTCTTTTCATTATTTCTTCTATCCTTTCATTATTTTTTTCGCAATTTCATTAGATCTCACAATACATAGTCAAAGCTGATAACAAAGAGAGAAGGTGAAAGAGTGTCACCTTGAAGGACCCCTGCGTTAATGTCGAAGAAGCTAGTATCTTAGTATGCAGATATAACAAAAAAATTTGGTATTTTTTGCATAGCATCATTATGGCAGCTACTGTTACATAGTAGATGACATATGCCATTTCCCCATTATGAAAAGAATCGAAGACTTTAAAAAAGTCTAGAAAAATTAAGGTAGCCTATAGATTCTTTGCCCTGACACCATCTATAATCCGCTGAAGAATCAGGATTTGTCCAACAGTTGATCTATTTGTATGAAAGTCATTTTGATTTTTTTTTTCGAACTACTGTCTCTAATATTGTGTATTTTGTTTTGACCCTGTATTGTGTATATGTCTATATTTCTGAGATAAGGTGCTATGTATAATATTTACATTATTCGGACAATTGTCCTCATCTTTGTTGCTATATTTATCGCAACATATCGCCCATTGTACGTTCCGACCTTCTACAGGTGGTTGGAATGTCGAACTGAACCCTTCATTTCGCTCGCTGGGGAAGATTGTTTATCCAGTGTGCCACGTGTCCTCAAGGACACATGGAACAGTGGATAAAGGCGTTGGTTAGATCCAGTGACAGGACCCAAAGAGTGTGAGTTCAATACCTAGTTACAGCGGTGGAGAAATTGAAGAGAGGAATTAACAGGAGATAACTGATAACTGACATCCATTAAACATGGCACGTGGAACTAGAACGGTCTACCCTAGCGAGCGAAATAAAGGGTTCAGTTCGACATTCCAACCACCTGAAGACGGTCGGAGCGTACAGCGGCCGAAACGTTGTAATAAATATGGCAACAAAGACGAGGACAATAGTCTGAATAATGTAAATAGTGTTCCCTGTATTGAGAATTTCACTTCATAAACTTCATCATATAGACATTATGTAACTCCCAAGAAAAAAGTTGACCGATATTGACTATGTAGATGATATAAGCATCACTGCAAATATTATTACCAACTAGCAGCATGGCCCGGCGTTGCCCGTTCTTGATTCAAAAATCGTACGACTCATACAGCAATCGCTATCACTGGACTTAAAATATTTTTGCCCTTCCTTCTTGCCTATCTCACACTGCGAATTTTTTCTAAGCTCTATACTAAACATTAAATCTGTTACGTAAAAAGAACTAAACAAAATGAACACAAAATAATCAGCTTTAAAAAGGACTCGTAACTGGAAAAACCGAATGAAAAAAAATGTTAACAACAAATACTTTTCACACCCAACCCAGTTCTGCGGAATCAGAATCAACGTTGAGTTTAAGCAAGTGAATGAGCCAATTAGAGTAAAGTGCCATGCAGATTTAAATTTTTTCCACTTGTGACGAATACAGCTATCTATTTTATTTTTTATTTTTTTTGCATGCTAGCATTCGTGTCAGTCAGCTGTTGGCTCTCACGTTGGCCAATGGAATCTTCCTGCCTATTCGTGGCAGCCAGCTATAGGCTTTCACTCTGGCCAGTACAAAATGACCGCAAACTACATGAAAACTGCCGTAGAAGAATGAAAAAATCGATTATTTCCACTATCGATAGGAGTTGGGAAATGCAAAGTCAGTCATGGCCTTTCCGCTAACTTGCAGCATGTGCATGTAAATTTGGTGCAAATCCGTCGAAAATTCCGGGCGTGCATTCGTTACACACACACACACACACACACACACACACACACACACACACACACACACACACACACATCCTGTCGTTTATAGCATGAGGTGCGCTCTTTTAAATTCTACAAAATGTTGCTAAAGATTTTGTACTCTGTGTGAATACCTCAAAAACTGAATTATTAAACTACAGCTAGCAAGACACAATACAAATTATCACAGGTAAATCAATAAAATTTGTTGAACCTTTTACATAGCGTGTAAACAAAATAAATTCTACTGAAAATGATGGCAAACTTCGCATAGCTAAAGCCAGAGCCTCCTTAAAAAAAGGAGGTAATTTGAAAATCAGATCTACCAGACAACCTCAAACGGATCTTCTTTTGCGCCACCATAATGTATTTTGTCACTGCTTGGAATTAACTAAACCCTAGTGTCTACGTTTGATGGAATTTACACTCGGATACTGAGAACTGTACTTAACTTAACTTGGAGACAACATCCAACTAAATCGCAGCTCTAGGGGCCCATCCCTGATATTTCTATAATCTTACGTGAAAGCAGAATGGGCTTTGCTAGACACTGCTGGCGAGCAAAACAAGAACCTCTGACTTATCTACTGTTCTGAACACCTAGCTAGGCGCAAGATGGATTCGTCGTCGAGTAACCACCTACATTAACCAAATCTGTAGAGACAAAGGATGCCACACTTATGACATTCCTGCTTTGATATAGGAGTCTGGTCGATGGCGTGATAGACTCATAAATGTCCGAGCTAGCGTTCTTTCTTTCTTTCTTTCTTTCTTTCTTTCTTTCTTTCTTTCTTTCTTTTTTCATTTCTTGTTTCCTTTCATTAGTTTTTTTATTTCTACGTTCCTTTTTTCTATCTTCCTCCCTTTTGTTTTTTGCTTTCTTCCTGTCTTTCTTTTTCTCTATGATCATTTTCCTTCATTTCGTTTTTCATTAGATTTTATGTCTTTCTTCACTTTTATTCTTTCTTTCTTTCTTCAGGAGATATATCTTTCTTCGTTCATTTATTGCTTTTTTCATTAATTATTTATTTATTTCTTCCCATTTTCTTTCCTCATTTTTCTTTCATTCTACTATCATTTCTTCTTTCATTTCTTGCTTTCTTTCATTACTTCTTCCTTTCTTTCTTTCTTCCTCTTTCTTTCTATGACAATGCCTTCCTTCATTTCATACTTCCTTTCGTTAGTTCTTTATTTCTTTCTTTCATTTTTCTCCTCAGTTTTCTTTCTTTAGTCTACGATCATTTCTTCGTTTCTTACTTCCCTTCATCAGAGTATGTGTCATTCTATCCTTTTATTTCTTTCTTTCTTTTTTTCTATCCTTTTCTTTCTTTCTTTCTTTCTTTCTTTCTTTCTTTCTTTCTTTCTTTCTAGTATAATTTCTTTCTTTCTTTCTTTTTTTCTATCCTTTTCTTTCTTTCTTTCTAGTATAATTTCTTTCTTGCTTTCTTTCATCAGTTCTTTCTTTCTTTTTACTATATTTTCTTCCTTGATTTCTTTCTTCAGATCTTTCTTTCTTTCTTTCTAGTATAAATTTATTCCTTGCTTTCTTTCATCGGTTTTTTCTTTTTTTTTTACTATATTCTTCCTCGCTTTCTTTCATCAGTTCTCTCTTTCTTTCTTTCTTTCTTTCTTTCTTTCTTTATTTATTTATTTATTTATTTCTACTATAATTTCTTCCTTGCTTTTTTTCATCGGTTCTTTCTTTTTTTTTACTATCATTTCTTCCTCGATTTCTTTCATCAGTTCTTTCTTTCTTTCTTTCTTTCTTTCTTTCTATCTTTCTTTCTTTCTTTCTTCCTTGCTTTCTTTCATCTGTCCTTTCTTTCTTTCTTTCTAACATAATTTCTTCCTCACTTTCTTTCATCAGTTCTTTCATTCTTTCCATTCTATTCTATTCTCTCATCCATTTCTCAGATATATCTGTTTTGATTCTTTCCTGATTATCATTTTTTTTCACCCATTCCATTGGGATTCGACATTCCACCTGCCCCTCTTTTCCTACTCCTACTCCTTCTCTCCAAAACCCCACCCCCTTACTTTCCTCCACCCCCTCCCAGGAATGCTCACAGGGATTCAGCCGCCGATAAAAGCCTCCGAATGTAATTTCCAGTGATTTGCCAACAAATCCATTTACAAATAGAAATTGCGAGAAACGATTCTTTATTTTCTCTCTTTACTCTCTCTGCTATTCTTAAAAGATAGATTTAAAATTTACAAGCCTTTGAGCTGAATCTGGTTCATGACGTTATATATGATTCATTTCTCATTCTTACATTTTTGCTTCTGGCTTGGATGTATTTTTTTTTTCATTTAACTTGCGCGTATGAATTAAAATATATTCGTTGTACATTACTGGTCGATATTTAATGATTGAAAGGAAACAATTATTTCTCTTTTTACGTAGATGTAGCTTAGATATATAATGAAATCCTTTTTCGTAAGCAACCATTCGCTGTTGATAGTGATTAATGAACTGATCTATAAAGATGTTCAAAGACAAGATTTCGAAACTTACTAGCTTTTCAATGTAATGACGACCAAAAATAAATAATATGACACTACTCAATTCATATCAGCAGTGACTTTAAGAGAATGATGGCTACCGTGCTAATCTAGTAAATCTTTATTGAGTCTGATTTTAACTAATTGTGTCGCTGTTGAAGGAGTTGTCGGTGGCCTTATAAAAATATTAAACTATCTACTAAGAAAATGGAAGGGAAAAGAAGTAAACAGAAAAAATGTTTTACTTTCCAGAAATAATTGCTGTTTTTTACAACATTTGTTTAACCCATTATTATGAAGACAGTTTTGTTATGACAGGGAAGAGACTATACATTGGAATATTTCTTACTAACTTCGACTCGGGCTGTTACACCTGGTTGCTACACTTATTATCACGAGGATTTCTTAGCGTCTGATTGATTACTTGATTAATTATAGCACACGTACGTACGTCATAGTAGACACAAAAAGCACGTAAATATTGCCAGAAAAATACTCGACTCAATTTTAAAGCGTAAAATCTTTGATAGCTATACTTCCTTAAATGTTGTAACGTTACAGGTTAATAATTTGATATATGTTTTAAATGCTGAGAAATTTTCATCATTTTTCATAATTTAAGAATTAATTAAATTTTATTTTAGATTGTTATTTATTCAGTTCAAATGTCGCAACCCTATTAATAATTTTCATTAAAAAGACAAGCTGAAATGGATCTATTAAAAAAATATAATGGCAATGCATGTTGTGAATGTTTACTTTTGACTCATTCTTGAACCGAACGAGCCAACAATGGTATCACTGGTTATAGATTATTTCTGTCAACAACCAATTTCAGATCTGATTTAAGTCATTTCTGCCAGCATCAAGCTTCAGCGTTCGATTTAGGAGATATAGATTATTTCGGGTTATAGATTAGGCGATTTGTGGAACACTTTGCGTAGTGCAGTCTTGAGCGCCACAACCAGACCTACTCGCCACAAAATTTGACCATTCCTGCTTGCAACTTTGCAGCTCACCCTGTAAGTGGTTTTTTATTGTCATTTTGCGCCTGAATATTTGGAAATGTCCAGAATTAACTCCGCCCTTAAAAGATTCATTCCATTTTTCTCACCTAATCACATCGTCCCAACATTGCTTCTCTCGTTATGACATCGAAACCTCATATCTATACACAGTCACTTATTCCAATTAAAAATATATATATATAAATACATTTAACAATCTGGTTTAGGCTAAGAGCAGTTTCTTAACGTTTAAGATATTTTAGTGAAAGCAAACATACGGATTAATTGATCCCCCTTGCCCTTGCTTTCTGTCAACAACTAATTTCGGATCTGATTTAAGTAATTTCTGCCCGCGTCAAGCATCAGCGTTCGATTTAGGCGATGTAACTTTGCCATTTCTGTCGCTATGGTCTGATCTCCTTTGTCCAATTCTGCAAATAAATTGATGTTTCATTCAGTACACTAATGAATGTTCGTCATCTTCTAAAATCTAAAAACCCCTAATGCTAACTGTGTCCTGCAATAATTCAGGAATTTAAGGACCTAAAAAATACTTAACGCTTCGAATTTCATCCCTTGAGACCGCATACACTTTTCAAAATAATCTGCACAATAATCGTAGTCCATGGTTTAAATTTTCCATTTTAACAGCAGATTTAGTTCTCGAAAAAAAGCAACAAAACGTTACAAGAACAAATATATTGACTGGAAAGGGTGTGAAATATCTAGATGATATTATGTTTTGACCCCCCCAAACCATGCGAAAATTGAAGAATGAGCAGGCGTATTGTTTTAATGAATTTGACGGTCCCACGGTATATAAGTTCAGTCAATGGCGCCACATAACTGACTAAGTAACCATAAAGAGGATTGTATGATCACGCCTGCCCAGTATGGGTCCCTCTAATTAGTTACTAATGCTATTGCTAGTCACATTTCCGCATATATACGTGCGTATATATATATATATATATATATATATATATATATATATATATATATACATACATACATATGTATACGTGTCATTTTCATACACAAATATATATACATATTTGTGTGAAAATGCACACACACACGCATATATATATATATATATATATAATTTATTTGTAAAAAACAGTTATTTCTGATGAAAAATTGAGGACAATTTGAAATATCAAATATATATATAAATAAATAAATACTTTCATAAAATAAAACATTATAATTTTTAATTTGAAACTTTATATATATATATATATATATATATATATATATATATCTGTGTGTGTGTGTGTTTGTGTGTGTATAAACATATTTAGTGTGTAGACGCGTTTGACCAGACATTACAATTTTTTTCTAAACAGTCAAAATTCTACTAAAGACAATGTATCTCCCGAAAGTATTCGAACATGTATTTATATCTTTAATCAGATAAGATATCAAAAAGTCCTACTAAAAATTTAAGGTTTCAATTACATGGATTTTCGGATTTTCTCATTTTCCATTATTTTTATGCTAACTTTGATTTAACTTGTATGCTAATTAGTATTCTACTACTATTATTATTACTATTAGTAGTAGTAGTATATATTAGTGCACAGTGAGTACTGGTGGTTATAAAACAGTGACCATTTCTAAATAACAAGCTAAAATTTATACTACTAATAAATATATATTTGTTCCTCACCGTTTGGTAAAATGTCGAGATGCAAAAACTAGATTACTTTCAATTTAATGTATATATATATATATATATATATATATATATATATATATATATATATTAAGACGTTTTTTTTTACGTTTATACTTTCTTTTTATAGATACAAATATTTAAGTAAATGCTCTCTTTATAATAAACAGTATTAAACAACATTTACCGGCCTGAATATCCGAGAAATTTTCACAGAAAATATTCGAACCTGTATCCTATACGGGCCCGCATTTTAGCTTGACGTGCCTTCAACCGATTTGGCCACAGAGGAGCGTTCGTTTAGCAAGGTCGAATTTACTGTATTTAAACTTCAAACTACTATGAATCTCTCACGTACATTCATTTCTGCTCATGTCGTATGAAATGTAAACAAATGACGTCAGAAATTATGAAATGGACAAAGTCCGACAATTATTTTAAGACATTTTAATGTTTGTACGTTCTTTTTATAGATACAAATATTTAGGTAAATGTTCCGTTTATAATAAACAGTATTAAATTTCGCGGACATTCAGGCCGGTAAATGTTGTTTAATACTGTTTATTATAAACAGAGCATTTACTTAAATATTTGTATCTATAAAAAGAATCTATAAACATAAAAAATGTCTTAAAATAATTGTCGAACTTTTGTCCATTTCCTATATATATATATATATATATATATATATATATATATATATATATATATATATATTCATAATTAAGTATATTGTAACATACATATGTTATAAAATATATTAATTTTTTTTTTTTACAGTGAGATTCACTCTAGGCGTCTCGATGTACAATTTGGAGTTTGGAGACCATTTGTGTGTGTATAGCAGTGGAAGACGACCATTTAACCTAGCCTTGAACAGGTTAAGATTGTAATAATAGGAGAAACAGCCTGTTAGGAGTCGGTTGCACAGGAGAGTGGTTCGCAGGAAGAAGCTATTCGAGGGGGACTTATTTCTCACCGATGGGATACAGGGAGAATGTGTGTGGTTTCCTAATATGTAAGTGGCATGGCGTATTCACGTTGTGAAGTTTTGCCTCCGCGAGACCAAGGAATGTAGCTCGTCCGGGCACTTTCTGTGGATGTAACGGTAGAGTAGTGAGAGGCTTGTCATCATCCCGCCTGTGGGAGAGAATAGTTTGTAACGCACAAGGGCTTGAAGACGCTTTCGAACTCTGTAAAGGCTGGAGAGTGAAGTCTGAGCAGCTCCCGCCCAAATATGACATCACTACACCATTTTTGGCCTTATCTGGTTTTTGTAAAGGTTGAGGTCTACATGAGGAGTTAGGTACGTAAATACGCAACTGAAATCGAACATCTGTAGTGAAATCTTTCTGCCAAGTATCATTAGTTCAAACTCAACGAACATATAGTCTCTATGAGAGATTCTGCCAGTGTCCAGAGTAAAGATACAGCAATTAACTTTCCACTAAGTGTTATACCATGTTTTGGTTAGGAACGATGGATTATTTTAGAAAAATGCTTAATTAAACGCATCAACATGTCTCCGTACAAGATGGAGTAACGGCTCATGCGACAAGGGCCAGAATCCAACTTCTCAGGCAAATTTTTGGGAAAAGAATAATTTCTCACGGTTATGGTATTAAAAGGCCAGCTTTTTTCTAGGTTCTGACAAGTACTGAGTTTTTCTTACGCTGCTATCTAAAAGAAAAGGATTATGTCAATAAGCTCCATACTCTCCAGGCCCTTAAGGACAACATTCAGATAGACATCAAAGAACTAGAGCCTGAGACACTGAAGGCTGTAACGGAAAATGCTTTAGAAAGGATACGTTCGTGGGAAGAGGAATATGGGCACCAGATAAAAGTTGTAATCTTTCCCAACTAGTGTAAATGTATTTCCTATACGTACTATTTTGCTAATACCCTTTCGAAGAGTATGAATCCTCCTCTTCTCTTTCCAGCTATGGGTAAATATCAGGATAGACCAGGTTCTATAGCCTTGGATGCCAACTGGTCTACCGCAGAAAGAAATGGCAACATACTGCGGGAAAATAATATGCCTCGTCAGTCATGTATCGAAAGTTACATGTTCGCCTAAGCGTGTATCACACATGGCACATAACTGACTGACTATACCGGGTGTAACAGAGTAAATGTCCAAATCATCTAACAGATTTATTGTCCATCCCACAAAATGATTAACATTTAAAAATCACTAAACTAATTGGGTTTATTTTTTCAAATTTTCAGATCAGACATTTAAACACCTTGACGGTATTTTTCGTAAGAATAACTGAAAAATCCGTTGAGTTATTTAGCTAAAAAGATAACAGGATAAAATCGTTTTGCGTCAACCCCACTGTCTTCCCAACTGAGAAAAGATGAGAGGATAAAGATCATTCTGTCTTTCAGTAATGCTACTAACATTCATACACTGGCTTATATCTTCCAAGTCCATTCAAGTACCATCGAGAGAACGGTGATTAAGTTTTAAGAAAGAGGAAACAGTAGAGAGGAAAACTGGATCAGGAGGTCACGTCAAGAAGAGGGATCATAATTTCAACTTAGAATTAAAGAGATAATTTAGAAAAGATCCAATTCAATCCATAAGATGTTTGGTGCATGTGAGACGAATTTCAGCAGGGATCAGTGAAAAAAACTTGTAAATGAATCGTACGTGAAACCTACGAGAATAGAAGTTAGAAAGTTAGAAGGTTAGAAGATCATCTTGAATAAGTTGGAAAATGATCCTGGAATAATATATATATATATATATATATATATATGAATTTTATATCAATTTTTTATGAACTTCGCATCCTTACCTATGATTGGTTAATGATGAACAAGTCATTTTCGTTTATCAATGATTTCATCAGGATACTTCTGTTAAGCTTAGAGAGTAATTATTGCTCAAAGTAGAGTCCAATAGTGTTATAAAAACCTTGGAGAATTCCAGTAAGATATCGTTAATCATTTCTAAGATACAACGATTTGGACAATTTTGCTGTTACACCCGGTATGTAATAATGTTATTATGAATTAAAGTTAAAGAGTAAAGTAGTTGTTAAATTTTGATTTCACTTGGTGACTTGTGTGACACATTGTATATTTAATATTGATTTGTAGATATCAGGTAGATATTTGATATTTGTTTTTAATAATATTACGAAGGTTTGATGTGAACTATATTCGCTGAACTCTTGCATCCGTTTTTCATTCATGGCGTTTTTTCCACCATCAAAACTTCTTGCAACGTTTGGTGAGGTGAGGCAGGTGAATAGCGAGTGTGATCTAGAAATAACGAAGCAAGTTTCAAATTTGTCACTGTGTTATTCTTTCTGGATGCGACCTTGCTTTGTCTTGGTGCGGGGGGGATTTCTTTCTTTCTTTTTTTTCTTTTTTGATGAATGCAGGGCGATATACGACCAAACTTTTATTGACACGTTGCTGCTGCAGGTCGTATAATTGTACATCCTCTAAATGATTACTGCATTAACGATACTACCACCGGCACGACATTACTTTTCACCTACGGAGTTGAGATTAGGGTGCCAGTTGCAGGGGATTTAGCCGAGCCAAATCCATTGCTTTTTACGTTGGACATTGGGGTATGTGACCCATTTAAGAAATGTTTAGTCAGCATATATACCTCCTTATATTACTTATAACTCGACGCAATATATATGGCGCGATTTTTCGTCTCATATATTAATATATATTTATACTTAGAAAAACTTTTACAATACACACACACACACATACATATATATATATATATATATGTGTGTGTGTGTGTGTGTAAAAGAAAGAACGGTAAGATATGTAATCCGGTGTTCTTGATATTTTTTATTCTTATTTTTACAAAATTTATTTTGAAATATATATATATTATATATATATATATACATTATAAATATATATATACATTATGAAATATATATATATATATATATATATATATATATATATATATATATATATATATATATATATATATATATATATATATATATATACGTACCTGCGTAAGCCTGTCTACAAGGGCACCTAACCAATCCCTGATGCATAAGCCTGCTCAGGCACATTTGTTTTCAACACCAACATAGACAAATTAAGTTGTATACTGCAAGTATGCAGAGTAGACCTTACTTACAGTTTCTGGGGCGAGCTATTAGGCTAAAATCTGCGGTCAGCACGTGATATGTTTGTCAGGTTGATAACATCAAGTAGTGATCTTCCTGACAAATCGACCATGGTGAGATCCGAACATCTCATACACACACACACTCACACACACACATATATATATATATATATATATATATATTAATTGATTTAAAATATGGTTTTTTCCGCTTTTTTACAGAATAGTACTCAATGTAAATTTACAGAGCATAATATTATAAATTAATTGATTTAAAATATGGTGAATCAATTAATTTATAATATTATGCTCTGTAAATTTACATTGAGCACTATTTTGTAAAATAAAAATATCTATAAGAACACCGGATTATATATCTTACTGTTCTTTCTTTTTATTTATATACATACACACACATATATATATATATATATATATATATATATATATTTAATTAATTCATCGAGCACTGGACGGCCGTTTCGTTCTATATTTGGGACTCATCAGCAGTGCGCATCCACTACCGAGAATTGAAACCCTGACAGTTAGGTTGTCAAGCGAACATCATAACAACTGTTCCAAATGGGGGCACAGCCCTATGGTTACAAAGAGCTCAGTTGAGTTTTGCCATGGAATATGTGAGCGAGCGGCGCTAAATTGAGTCTGATTTGGAATTTCTTCGTCACCGAGGCCCATTGTCCTGACCTAACTGTCAGGGTTTCAATTCTCGGTAGTGGATGCGCACTGCTGATGAGTCCCAAATATAGGACGAAACGGCTGTCCAGTGCTTTCCGCATTCTGTTGAGGTTTCTATCAGACTCGATGAATTAATTAAATATAATTATCAAATCCTCCTACTAATTACTATATATATACTGTTTTGCTGCAATATAGCTTTTCGGCATCCGATTGCTTCAAGCCGGAATCGGTTTAGAATCAGTCAAAGATACTACCCGTAGGCTATCGTCGCAAGGCAGAGAGAAAGGAAATTTTTCACTTTTTTTTATTTATATATATATATATATATATATATATATATATATATATATATATATATATATACAAATACGTCAGTGTCCAGGAGAGCTCAATTCAGTCGAAGAACAATGCGAGCCACTGTTTTTAAAAATACCCTTTTCATAATAGCGCTCAACCGGATTTCCCGAGACCATATATATTTTCATCCAAAGATAGACTGTATCGTCACTGTATCACAGCTCTTCAGTGTGGATTGCTTCAAGCCGGGATTGATTTGGCAACAGTCAGAGATCCTACCCCTACGCAATCATCGCATATATACATATAAATAATAATCTCGAAAAAACTAAAATATTCATATATATATATATATATATATATATATATATATATATATATTCAAATTTATAACTAATACATATTATATGATCACTGCAAAAATCAATTTTGTTTCAAACCTGCTGGTGTCTTATCAAGTTCTGATGTTGAATATAAAATGTTAAGATTCTCCATTCAACATAATCCCTTCATACGACACCAGAAATGTTGAAACAAAATTGCAACTTTGTAGTGATCTTATAACATGCATATGTTATAAATTTGAATAAATATTACTATTGGCTGCGTAATTATCAAGCGTTTGTTTAAACAATATTTATTACGAAAAAAAAAGCATTAAATGATTATGCCGGAGTGTATGATTATCGACACGCATTTTTATAACCTGGAAATAAAATAATATTTATATTAAAATGAAAGTAAACAAAGCGGTAAGTTTTATTAACAAATAACTGACCTACAAAACGCCTGATAATTATGCACCAACCCACTAGCTCTACTCGTTATTGAGCACTCTTTTAAGAATATAATTTTCGGTTATTGGAATTTTATTCCATGTGTACCAGCCCTGTTTTTGTATACACACACACAAAAATATATATATATATATATATATATATATATATATATATATATATATATATATATATCTGCATCATAATCTGTGTGTGTTTCTATATGTGTAGATATATGATGTGATAAATATATAAAGCAATAAGTAATCTAAATCTGCCATATTTGTTTTATGAGATTATAGCTCAGTTATAAACAGTTGTGTCTCTCGTGGATTAATGTTTGTCTCAAATATCGGAAACGACAGTTTATTTTTTCCTTAAGTGGGAGCCGCACTTGTCTGTAGGGAGTTACTTAGAATAAGCAGATATATAATTTTTTTATTATTAAATACAAGGATGGAAATGTTTTTTGATGTTTTCCCTATTTAACAGACTTCGTGGCACTTACATCGACCTATAACGCACGCACGCACAGACATATTTGTGCATGTTTATGTGGACGTATATAGCTATATCTGTAAACAAATATAATTTATATAAACAAAACATTAATGTAGTATAAAAGAAATCCATTGGGATAGATAGATAGATAGATAGATAGATAGATAGATAGATAGATAGATAGATAGATAGATAGGAATAGACGGAGAGGTGATATATAGATGGATAGATAGACATGAACTAACTGAGATAGATAGCCAGATAGATAGAAATCCATTTAGATTCATAGAAATAAAGAAATCTGTTAAGATAGATAGATAGATAGATAGATAGATAGATAGATAGATAGATAGATATGAATCGGTTAAGATATATATATATATATATATATATACACAAATATAGATAGATGTTGATAGATAGATTGTGAGAGGGAGAGAAATAGTAGTTCTGTACTTTCACTTTAGATACATAATATTAAACGCAGTATGAAATTCGAACTCGTCTCACAAAGACGAGTGGATTGATTAATCGATTAATTTGCCTTTGTGATTTTTTTTAAGTCCGTAACATATTTTGATTGTAAGAATATATATCTTTTTTGTGAGTGAATATTGCATTCAAAATATTTCTGAAAATCCCTATGATTTTTACTGTTTCATATCTTACTATTTACCCAATACTTGCGGAAAGATAAATTCATATCTTTCCCAAGTGTATATGCGCCTGAGGGAATCTAACATAGCCGATCAAGAAATGAAGCGAACTGAATATCAGTGAATTAATTGTTGTTAATGTTTTATTTTTTAGATGAGAATGAGTTTATATATAACAAATGCAGTCTTATAGACAACTCAGTCAGTTATGTGCCATACGTGATACAAGATGAGGCGACCATGTATCTTTCGATATATGACTGACGAGACAGATTTTTTCCCGCATTAGTTTGACACTTCTTCTAGACCAATTGCTAGCTAAGGCTATAGAACCCGGTCTGTCCTGTTATTTACACATAGCTGGGGGGGGGGGTAGAAAGAGGATTCATACCATTCACAAGGGTAATAGTACGTAAGTGAATGTAATGGATTAGACTGGAATTCGAACTCGGGTCTCGGATTACTCTTGGATTACTACAATAAAAACATGTAAAAATCGCAACACAATTGAAGTCGTGTTTCGGTGCGTATCACAGCATTTTTCTCATCAGAATACTCATTGAAAGACGACTGCATGTGTGTAGCGATTTTTACATGTGTTCGGTGTAATATCCTAAAATAAATAATATTGCTATATTCTATATTGCTCTCTTTTAAATGAATTTTTTATAGTCGTTGGAATTGTACTCTATTCGTTCTTATCGTACCCTTACATATATGCCCAAACTGAAATTAACAGATAGATAGATAGATAGATAGATAGATAGATAGATAGATAGATAGATAGATAGATAGACATGAACAGACTATAGATAGATAGATAGATATGAACAGACTATAGATAGATAGATAGATATGAACAGACTATAGATAGATAGATAGATAGATAGATAGATAGATAGATAGATAGATAGATAGATAAAATAAACTCGGATAGCTAGTTTGATTGGCCACATCCTAGGAACTTTTAATAGACAAATAGGGAGAACCTATCAAAAGGTGACATCCAATGATAGATTTATATCTGCCAAGTCAAATTTAAATCCACTTCATAATGATAAATGCATTTCTAAATAAGTCGGCAGATGTAACTATAATATGAAAGATGATTCTGCAGAAATAGAAATGTATAGAGAAATACGTCAGTGCAAAGGGACAGATGAATAAAAAGATAATAAATTAACTGCGGCACAACAAGGTTCTAAGATTCAGTAATGACTCCAAAATCAGGTCACGTGGTTGGCTTGAGTTCAAGTTTTATACAGTCATTTCCCAGTCATAAATATGCGAATCATAAATTAGTCTATGAAATAAATTAGTGTAAGAACACTTTAGTCTGTTGATCTATTATCTTCGAGACTAAAATTCCTATCCTGGCTCCAAAACTTGAAAATGCTACAGACTTACAAAGCATTTTCTGGATTGTTGAATGAGTATCGAAGTCAGTTTCATGGAAATGGTTTCCCAGCTTGTTCATTAAATAATACGTTATGCTGTAGTACTGAAACCTTTGCTTAACCCACCGTTAGTGACAAGGGGTACTGTTTGGAAACCCTGGTCTAATCATGTTAGGACATGATTAGACCAGGGTTTCCAAACACCTTTTTGTTTTTCCAGTGAGGTTCACCCTGTACAAGACCCGGGAAGCAGTCGAGGTATAAAGTTACCATTGGGGAAGGTAATAGTTAAACCCAGACGAACATGTTAAGCTTGTAGTGGCCGGGAAAAACATCCTATTGGGAGTCGGTTTCAGAGAACAGCGGAAAGAAGGTGTTCGAATGAAACTTACTCGTCACCAGTGGAACGCAAAGGGAATGAGGGTAGCTCGTTACTATGTGCGTAGCATGGCGGGTCTTAACCGTAAAGGTTAGAACTTATGGGACTAAGAAATGTCGGAACTTCCATTGAAAGAGCTATAAAGCAGTGAGATGTTTGCGCCGTTTCGACTGTAATATATTTGAAATATGTCACTTAGTTTTTGCTATACACTGTCTTAAATGTTCTCTCTCTCTCTCTCTATATATATATATATATATATATATATATATATATATATATATATATACATTTATTCACACAAAACAAATGCAAATGTTAATGATTTAATTGGCGAGAAATCCATCGTCGCAAACAATTCAAATAATATACAAAAACCTCCGAATCCGTTATCGTTGCTTAGTGATCAACTATGTAAACAATGACAGACTATCATCACTGTCGTGTCCGTATATTGTTTAATATGTTTGTGATTTACATCTTTGATAACGGCTTAAGTAAGCCGAAAGCTTAGATTATATTAAAAAAATATGGATCAATATTGTGAATTTCTTTCTTCGTTTAATGATAATGTTATCAAACTTATCAGAAGTTACGAACAAATTTTACATAAAATAAATAGACAACACTTGTCTATATTATTTAATGAAACGTGTATATATATATATATATATATATATATATATATATATATATATATATATATAGTTTTATGTTAAAACTAATAGAAAGAAAAGCCGTTTCCCTATGAAAATATATTCAGCATTTATTGACCGAACAACTAGCATTACAATGACTTCAAATTTTTATTAAAACATTTTTAGAACAAGAGCTTTATTACCTGTACTAACTGTTATCGTTGTTTCTCATAATGAGTGCGTTTTCATTCCTAAACTTTTGTTAGAAGTACTGTGGAATATCAATATTTTGATGATGTCATTATTTCTCATCATTATGTCATATGTTCTATCCATTTTACTTGTTGCGACTGCTGGAAGTTTTAAAGTGGTGGGCTTTATGTTTTTATTTTGTAAATTATGAAATAAAAAAAAATGTTAGAAACAAAGAAAAGTACGTTGAACTGTTATCTTCTACCGGTCCTCCTATATAGCAGGGAGTACTGGATAGTCTCATTATACACGAAGAAGAGACTTGAAGCAACAAAAATATGGTTCTACAGAAGGATGGTGAGAATAGCTTGAACTGCATATTCGAGCTACGCTGAAATTTTAGAGAAAGTGGAAACAAAAATGGCACTTATATGTAACATCAGAAACGGACGGCTGAAATTTCAAGGACACCTAATCAGGAAAGTGGATTGTAAAATTTGATACGCACAAAGCATCAGCCACGTGACAAGATTGTCTAAATGGTTGACAAAACAGGGATTAGGAGAGATAATAAAAATATATTTAATAACGGATACAAAAGTCATAAAATCGTGAAGAACCATGATCTCCAACGTTCTGGAAAGATACGGCACATAAAGAAGAAGAAGAAGAATAAGAAGAAGAAGAAGAAGAAGAAGAAGAAGAAGAAAAAAAGTTGAAGAAGAATAAAAAGAAGAAGAAGAAAAGTAGAAGAAAAAGAAGCAGAAAAATGAAGAATAAGAAGAAGAAGACGAAGAAGAAAAAAAGAAAGCTCGACGGCGTATGGTTTTCTTCATGATCTACAGAGTCCCTTGCATCCATTTTGTAATCTCACTGATTTGACTAAACAGTTACATAGTGCTGATATTTTAAACATATTAAAGAAGATAAATAGGGTTATGGCCACATCACGTTGAAACCCTATTTCCTGTACGATCACCGGAGTTAAGCAACATTGAGTCTAGTCAATATCTAGATGGGTGACAGCTTGAAAATATCAGGTGCTGTAAGCTTAATTTGCTGGAGGTTTAAGGGTCGGAACTGTTAATCAGCGAGTCGAGTTTCAATTCCCGTTGGGTTCGTTATATTCACTTAGGTACAAATACCCTTGGGAAAGCTATGAATCAATCAATTCTCCACAGAGTTATGGTTTAATTAGTAAGACATGTATCAGTAAACCATTTTTATCTCAAAAGAAAGTTCTTACAATAAGAAAAATATTTCCTGGCGTTAAATAAACTGCAAGTGCTGATAAGTCGTAAAATAACGAATCAATCTCTATTTATAAAAGGACAGGATGTGTGTGTGTGTGTGTGTGTGTGTGTGTGTGTGTGTGTGTGTGTGTGTGTGTGTAACGAATGCACGGCCGCAAATTTCGACAGATTTGCACGAAAATTTACATGCACATGCACTAAGTTAGCGGAAAGACCGAGACCGACTTTGAATTTCCCAATTCCCATCGCTAGTGGAAATAATTGATTTTTTCATGCTTCTACGGCAGTTTTCATGTAGTTTGCGGCCGTTTTATACTGGCCAGAGTTTTAGCCTATAGCTGGCTGCAACGAATAGGCAGGAAGATTCTATTGGCCAGCCTGGGAGCCAACAGCTGACTGACACGAATGTTAACTAGCATGCTACCATGAAACACAAATCGTTAGCGCATTCCTCACAAGTGGGAAAAATTTAAACCTGCGTTGCACTTTACTCCAATTGGCTCATTCGCTTGCTTAAACACAACGTTGATTCTGATTCCGCAGAACCGGAATGGGTGTGAAAAAGTATTTGTTGTTAACATTCTTTTTTCATTCGGTTTTTCCAGTTACGAGTCCTTTTTTAAAGCTGGTCGTTTTGTGTTCATTTTGTTTAGTTCATTTTTCGTAACAGATTTAGTATAGAGCTTAGAAAAAAATTACAGTGTGAGATAGGTTAGAAGTAAGACATGTAGCAACATCAGCACGGCAAAGGCCACTCCTTTAAAGGCAAGTAATGGCAAAAATATTTTAAGTCAAGTGATAGCGATTGCTGTATGAATCATACGATTTTTGAATCAAGCACGGGCAACGCCGGGCTATGCTGCAAGTCAATCAATAAAACTTAGGTGAAAAACAAAAACAGAAAGTTTCATTTTTATAAATAAAAAAAAATAAACAGAATTTTATTTTACCAACCTAATTAAAAATATTCAAAATATTTCTGGTTTGTTGTCACTATAACGATTAAATAAACAAGCTATATAGATAGTTTTATTTACAGGACTAACAACTTGTATATTCTTACTTATTACTTTAAAACCAATTTAAAAGTTGTTTTTTCATTATTGAGGTTGGGTTTCTTCCTAATCCTTTGTTTGAAGTAGTGTGGAATATCAACCTATTGACTATGTCATTATTTTCTCTTGAAGATAAATGTGACATTCATTCTTGTCGTTGCTGTTTTTGAAAGTGTTCAAGTGTTTAAGTGATGTGGTTTCGGATATTTGGTAAAACAGTCCGCGTGGGGCAAATAAGAATGGGCCTCAGTAAGATCTAAATGATTCTTTACCTTCACTGCTTATTTTTTACTCTATTGTTCAGCCAATTCAAGGCCCAAGAGACACTCAATGTAGGGAGTTATTGAATGGGACTGATGTAAGGACGAAGGAATTATATATTATATGTAGGAAAAAGATAAAGATTGTAATGATCAGTGAAGCAGCCTCTCGGATTTGGATTAGTTGAAGTAAGGAATATAGCTACATGGAATATCTTCCATAGAAATAACGATTGATTAGTGATAGGCATGTAACGTTACGTCTGTGGGAAAAGGATTGTAAGGTGGAAAATATTTCATCGCCGACAAGGCCGCGTGGACTTTTTTTGAACTCTGTCGAGGTAGCGATTCTCCATATGTCGCCTCATACGTCTCTTGTAAAGCGACAGCAAGCCCTGTGGAGTCGGGTACTTTCTGATCAGGCGAAAAGGAACCTATAATTTTTCCAGATATTTTTGCGGTTGATTATCTTAGTTCTTGGGTGAATTTCAGATCCATTAGGCGCAGATTGCAAGTAGCCTCCTTGAGAATGCTATCACCTCTCGACAAAGATCAGTTCGATAATGATAGATACTCGTTTAGCTGTTTTGGAACTTAAAGTTACAAGGAGGTTCTTCCTCCATTGGGCTGTTAGAATTCGGTCAGCTGAGAGATCTGCTACCAGGTTATAGTCATTTAGATTTTGGGAATTACGGTATTTACTCAATCCCCCTACTAGGACGAGATGTGACACAACGTCTTTTTACATTGGGGGCCCGAGCGCGTACACTCGGGCAATGTACAAAAATTGCTGACAGCCCCCACAACTGTCGGTTGCGCTGGCCTCGGTGCGAACACTGATTCCTCACTTTGGTGCAATGGGAGGGCGCGGCCTCGGGCAGCTGTTCCCAAGGGCTGGGCACCTCTCAGTATAATTTTCTCAGCTGCCCCTCTGTCCCTTGACAGAGAAGCCCCTGAGCGCACTCTGCCCAAATACATAAACGCAACTGAGAAATGATAAGCTTGCGTTATTGACTCCTCCAAGGAGGAATTTATACGCTGGGATTTTGGGAATTACGCACACAGATTTTGATACCAGCTATATATGAGATATTTACTGGTGATCTGAGAATGATCGAAGGTAGATCGTTAATATGAAATCAGAAGACCGAGTAGTGTACCTTGTGGGATGTTTGCTTTGATTAAATGTGAGCATATAATAAATGCATAAACCCAGCTATAGTTTTAAGGGGACGTGGAAATTAATAGAATCTCTTGAAACTGAGAAACGCACGCTGATCAGATCAGGGGTAGAGCAACGTACATCCGGATTCAGACCGACAGTAAGAGATTAGCATAGGCCAAGAAAGGGATAATAAAGATAAGAGGAATCTATCAAGCGACAAATGGCGGAAAGAATGATAACAAATTCAGAAAATTGTTTGGTGAACGGTGTCCATAAAATGGAAAATGATGTCGGAAATGATAAAAAAGGATTTACTGATAGGTTTTGACAGGTCACGTAAGAGAACAACAACGCGATGATGTTCTCTACAGGATCATTTGGGAGGGAAGGCTTTTCTCAAACAACTGACTCACAATACCTGCTGACGTTCATGGAGGGGGGTTTTGATGATGATGATGATGATGATGATTAAATGTCAATATAATTCAAGACTTTGAATCACAGTATGGGAGACAGGCGTAACACTCCACATATTCCGGTCTATTTTTTTTTTTGTATTGAATTAAGCTTAGTTTCGTTAAGATTGATATACGCCGATCGTGAATGAATCGGGTTTTCAATTCAACAAAAGAATTAACTTTTGAAAACAAGTTTGTTAGACATTTACAGGATTTGAACTGGCTTCGAGTTCTTTGGGATATGTGTATCCCACAAATGTTTTCAACCCGTCCTGCGGGAATAACTGTCCACAAAACGCATCGATATGGCATAAAACAGACATAGTGCCCCATTGCTATATTTATAATAATACATTCAATAATATTATTTTTTTCTTAGTTAAGTTCATTTAGATATGTCTACTGAAACGAACAATTATATTTTTTGCTGATGTTAGAATTCGGTCAGCTGAGAGATCTGCTACCAATGTATATTTAGAGTTTGGAAATTACACACACAGATTTAGATACCATCTTTATTACGAGATATTCACTGAAGAGTATTCTAAGGTGTATCGTTAATATAAAATAGAAAGATGATAGGACAGAGTAGTGTGCCTTGTGGGATGCCTGCTTTGATCAAATGTGAGCATATAATGAATATATGGTTATAGTTTTAGGGAAACATGGAAATTAATATAATCAATTAAACGAATGTGGACTTGAAAGGGTTAATAGTGTTTTTTTTTTTGTTTTTTTTTACCTTTGTTCTTTCACCTTAAGCGGGTAAGGTGATCGAATTCGCTAATCTGCTAAAGTTTCACTCTTTCTAAATATTTATCGTCTAAATTACTTTTGTGAAGCCAAGACTTTTGTCCTTGCTTTGTTTTCCTGCTTATCGATAGCAAAGATTGCCGATGATTTGAGAAAATTGTATCGAATATTTTCGAATATCATCCATGTCTCAAAATGAGAAACTGGAGGGAAACGGCGCTTTTTCTTTCCAAATTTGTCTCTCATTCCTTGTCTTTTTTTTAAATTATAGATCATGTGACAAATAGGAAAGACGATAGTTATGCACTCTTTCAATGTCTCTACTGAAAACGACTACTGCCAAGCGGACAACTGAATCACCCGACAAAATGATAAAAATCTATCTTTCCGAAAACAATCATAGATAAAATTCAGAAACTAAGAAAGGAATTGTATAAGAACGGAGCTATTAGTATGAAAAAATTATTTCTATTTATCATGGATCCACTGACCATGAGAAACCTGCAAGAAGCGTGATGTGGAATATTACACTAAAACTATGTTCACTAAGACCACACTGTTCATATATATATATATATATATATATATATATATATATATATATATATATATATATAAGACACAAATGATTACGGGGCGTGGAATAATTAGGAACAGAGACATTAGTAATGAGCTGGAACAAAAAAGTAATCAGTAGATAGCGACTTACATTGCATTTAAATTTTGAAGATTAGAGTTGGCCAGAAAGCATGGAGAAGGAAGGGGTTTCCACTAGCGAAAATTCTGAGAAAAGGAATTGTTGGCATAAAACTTACGGTAATATCTGGCGACCTCAACTGTACATTGATATTATGTCGCCGCCAGTCTAGAACTGCGCTTAAATTAAAAAATCTCTCTCTCTCTCTCTCTCTCTCTCT